TACAAGCAACAGGTTAATCTTATGAAAAAAAAAAAGAGAATCGCACTCACCAAAAGGAAGAAAATGAATAAGGAAAGGTTGTTTTTATGAATTAAGAAACTTAGTCCTACAAAAAACTATTAATATTTTAGTGGTTATTGTTTAATTTAAAATTATTAATGTTTGACAAATTTCAAGATTCAATGCTTAGCTTTTCACATTCCTTATATTTTAGACTAAATTTTTTAACATTTAAGACCAAATTCATTAATATTTTGATGAAACAAGTATAAAATAATATTTTTTTATCATGTGAAATCAATATAATTATATAACTATAAAATAATTGATAGTGAATATACATATATATATATATATATATATATATATATATTAGTACTCTTTATATCTAGTTATCCCTAACTAAATATGAGTTTTATTTGAAATGTCATCATTTTTGTTAAGACGGTATATTTTTAATAATGCATTAAGATTGAATATACTTTGGAACTCAACCATTCCAAGCAAAAAGTGATTAACATCCTAAAACAAATACAAGTTTGAGTAGATGACTATTAATACAAACAATATTCTTCTTCACACATAAAAGACTTAAGATTGCTTGAAAGCACCAACAATATATCTTCTTCACAAAGATTTTTTTTTATATAAAGATTAAAAGAAAAAAGTCTTTGCAAATGGTTTTAGAGTCGTTGTGAGGATTACGAGTCTTTGTCTTCTTTATTTATGGTCTATCCGTCAGACAATGTATATGATTAAGTGTTTTTTATGCAACACTAAATATACATAATTTCTTTACACAACTTTTTTTTGTACATAACATTGACTTATCAAAGTTACTTTCCACTTTCATTTAAAGTATATGATGAACAACTTGGATGCTTTTGCAAGACTCTTATTCTATCTTTTCAGAAAAGTTTTTTTTTGTATAGAAAAATTTTAAACACATTCTTAAAAAAAAGTTTGATGTAAACATAAGATTAATTTTTATAACCACTATATTGCCTTAGTTTTCTAAAAAAAATGGTTGACCTTGTAAGAAATAATTTTAAAGATCATGTGTACATTTGTCTTATAAATTAATAAATTAGCACACAAAATAAACAAAATCTCTTTTGATAAATTTTATTAGTACTTTATAACACAATGTCATTTAAATGGCTGTATGTATAATGATGATAAATATTAATAATAATCGTATCTAAAATTATTCATATTCTTAACAATATTTTTTAATAGTACTTTTTATATAGTGAGAAATGATTAATGTATTTTAAAATATGAACTTAACTTAAATGTCATAATACAAAGTAATACCTACTATATATTTTATATAACAAAAAGTAATTTTAACAAAAATCATATATAAAATTATAGAGATTCACAATTATGTAACACTTACCTAATATTACTCACAACTAGTATATATAGCATTTTCTCAAAGTATTTAATTTACACTTTGTACCTGTATTTTCTCTCTCTAATGTTTTGTTGGGTAGAAGTTATTTACTATTTGTAAGAGGGTAAGGAGATTGATTTAAGAATTTATGGGAATTGATTCGAAATGATTTGTAAGAATTATGTATATGTAGTGTTTATGCTGAAATGGGACGAGGATCTCCACCAAACGTCTTTCTGCCGAGCATTCTACCTTTCCTAACTCCAGTTAACCAAACACCGAATGAGGGTGACCTGCAGAAGATACTCCAATCCTCAAGTCAGAATTTTTCTTAGCAGGTATATTATGAGTAATCAAAAGTCAAAAAGTCCCCTTTTATCTCGAAAGTAAACCTCTGTTTGAATCTGACTAATTAATTTACCTCTTAAATGGTCATTAATCCAAATCTTAACCGCTCGACCGTAGCCGACGGTTGTCGGAATCGAGCGATTCCAAGACGTTTTCTTGAACGTCTATAGCTCATTTCTTTACAACCCTTATCGGTCGATCATAATTGGGCCTATAGTAACATGTAGTTTAATTGATTTGTGATGGCTTGTATGAAAAATTTAAAAGAAAAATTGAAGTGTGAGATGAAAAAAAACATAATGAATTTAAGGAAGATTGATTAATAAATTACTATATCTGATGTTAAATTTTTTTTAACTTTATTATTTATTAAAAAAGTAATAAACAGTAATTTTAAATGATTAATATTTTTAATAAATAAATTGTTATTATTTTCTGAATTAATTGTTTTAATAAAAAATATTCTTTTAAAATTACATCGAACATTAGCTCTCACATTGCATTAAATACAACGTACCTACCCTTGTTAATTCAAGCAAATTAATCACATGTATAAATAAATTTTCTGCGCTTTCCATTAAATCAAGTTACATTCCTTGATGTTTCCTCCTGCCACCTGCAAAACAATGTTTCAAATTACATATCCTAATCCAGACAAAACATAAGTGGTACATAACTTTTACATGTATAAAATCATTTTTATTATCATTATCTTATTAATACTTGGTTTCCATTTAATCATATTATTTTCCTCTTATAAAAGTGGTGTAGGTTAGTTAGAATATCAGTAGTTACACCATAACAGATAAATATGTTGTGAAAAGGTTCACGTTCAGCTCACACGTCTTGCTCACATATTACACTCTTTGGAATTCAAATTTCGCATTCAATCTCTCTAACTGAAGATAAAGGCGACAGTATCTCATCTTTCCTCTCACCCTATCAGCACAACAAATAATCATCATGCAGGTATCTTTCTTCCTTCTTCCTCATCCTCTGTTCTTCCTCTGTTACAAAACACAGACTTCACTTTCCTCTTTCTTTCTCGCAGAATCCAACACTTGCGACAACCCTTTTCGCCATTTTGCTCCTTGTCCACTCCTCACTCGCTCTCAAGGTATAAACCAACAACTTCAATGCTTCTCGATAACCTTTTTGCCTCTAATTTCGATAAACTCGTCTCCCAACTCCACACTCTTCACAACAGGAAGGACAAACATGCGTAGCAGACAGGAACTGCGACTCGGGTTTGCACTGCGAAACGTGCGTGGCCAATGGGAACGTGCGACCAAGATGCACTCGCATTCAACCCATCAACCCCACTTCAAAGGTCTCACCTTTTTTATTGCGGTTGGGCTTTTTGAGTTTTGTTGTGTTGTGGCTTGAAAGTGCTGGTGATGAAGTTTTCAGTTTTTGAACAGGTAAAAGGGTTGCCGTTCAATCGGTATTCATGGCTGACGACGCATAATTCATTTGCGATTTTGGGTCAGAAACCAATGGCGGGTTCTGTTATTCTTGCTCCCACCAATCAACAAGACTCCATCACTAGCCAACTTAATGTGGGTTCTATTCTCTTTCATCGTTTTTCTTTTTCTTTAATTATAAAACTTTATATTAACTTGCTTACATCTTTATTTTTTCCATCCACTGGCAACTTAATATAACTTATACAACCAATTGAAAACCATTTATTTAATTATTTATCAAAATAATGTTATTAATTCACTTAAATGATAAAGCTGTCATGAAAAAGATTATATATAGAAAATAGGTTGTAAACACTTGTAATTATAATAAATTGTACATGATCTGAAATAAGATAAATTTATTAACAACTTATATTGAAAATGATTTTTATTAATTGGTGGATTAAAATGTCAAACTTTGTTTTCTTTAGAGAACAATGCCAAAAACATTTAATAAGCGTGTCTAGGTTTTGTACTTTATTTTTATTGCTCTTATATAATGGTGGTATTTGGATACTTGAAAAATTTTGAATTCCCGAGAAGTTTAAGTAAAGAAAAGAAAAGATTTCTGAAACTTTAAGCAGTTGTTGGAGATCATTTTGTCGTGTCTCTAATTGTGTCCATTCTACATTCCGGGAGAGTAACGTTTCTGCCTTCTGCTCATTGCAAAGAACATAAGGTCCCCACTATGTTTCTTTTCAATTCTTTAAAACTGAAAAGTTAGAAAGTGGTTGGCTATACGGTTGCTTGCTGCAGGATAAATCCCTATTGAAAACAGGCCAAGATTTTGTATTTTAAATAAATTGAACTACTAGAATTTGTTTACACGGTTGAATAGTTCAAGTGGTTCCTAGTTTAATTTCTTTAATGAGATGCTTGCATTGTTCAAGCCCACCAGTGATGAGGATGGCTTTATCTGTTTTCCTAGGTACAAAGAATGTCTTACATGAGGGAATTATATATTAATCTGACTAAACAATCAGGATTGTTTTTCCTGTGGTTGAATATTACAATCTGTTTCTAGTTTAACTGGATTAGTTAGTGCCTTTGTGTGAAACGCTGCTTATTTTTTAATAATTTTATAACGACACGTTTTGAGTTGGTAGAACAGAGATGAAGGAACGGCTCAAAGTTCAAACCTTTTTCCAAGTGAAACAGTAAACTCATCTTGTTTGTATTCTCACAGGAAAATAACTTCATTGAATAGCTTGACTTGACAACATTTGGTAACTTGGTGGGAATTACTCACCAATTTTTATAGAGATCAAGAACTGCTCATTCTTAAAGTACTCCCACAATCTAAGATACATAGTACAAATTGGATGAAAGAGAAGTTATCCCTTTTAATTTACATTTCACATTTCACGTAAAAGGAATCTAAAATGATTTCACTTCTAGAATTTTGGCACCTTATTCTTGTATTTCACTTTTGTTTTGAAGAATGGAGTACGAGGGTTGATGCTTGACATGTATGACTTCCAGAATGATGTTTGGCTGTGTCACTCTTTTGGTGGTCAGTGCTACAACTACACAGCTTTTGTAAGTAAGAAATAGCTTGGTTGTTGGTGATACGAATTAATGATAATGCAATTAAAAAGTTGTATTTTTCTGTGACCATGAAATCTGGTTATCAATAGNCGTTCAGCTCACACGTCTTGCTCACATATTACACTCTTTGGAATTCAAATTTCGCATTCAATCTCTCTAACTGAAGATAAAGGCGACAGTATCTCATCTTTCCTCTCACCCTATCAGCACAACAAATAATCATCATGCAGGTATCTTTCTTCCTTCTTCCTCATCCTCTGTTCTTCCTCTGTTACAAAACACAGACTTCACTTTCCTCTTTCTTTCTCGCAGAATCCAACACTTGCGACAACCCTTTTCGCCATTTTGCTCCTTGTCCACTCCTCACTCGCTCTCAAGGTATAAACCAACAACTTCAATGCTTCTCGATAACCTTTTTGCCTCTAATTTCGATAAACTCGTCTCCCAACTCCACACTCTTCACAACAGGAAGGACAAACATGCGTAGCAGACAGGAACTGCGACTCGGGTTTGCACTGCGAAACGTGCGTGGCCAATGGGAACGTGCGACCAAGATGCACTCGCATTCAACCCATCAACCCCACTTCAAAGGTCTCACCTTTTTTATTGCGGTTGGGCTTTTTGAGTTTTGTTGTGTTGTGGCTTGAAAGTGCTGGTGATGAAGTTTTCAGTTTTTGAACAGGTAAAAGGGTTGCCGTTCAATCGGTATTCATGGCTGACGACGCATAATTCATTTGCGATTTTGGGTCAGAAACCAATGGCGGGTTCTGTTATTCTTGCTCCCACCAATCAACAAGACTCCATCACTAGCCAACTTAAAGTGGGTTCTATAAAATTAAAAAATTTTAATTTTAATTAAATAAAAAAACTTTATATTAACTTGCTTACATCTTTAATTTTTCCATACACTGGCAACTTAATATAACTTATACAACCAATTAAAAACCATTTATTTAATTATTTATCAAAATAATGTTATTAATTCACTTAAATGATAAAGCTGTCATGAAAAAGATTATATATAGAAAATAGGTTGTAAACACTTGTAATTATAATAAATTGTACATGATCTGAAATAAGATAAATTTATTAACAACTTATATTGAAAATGATTTTTATTAATTGGTGGATTAAAATGTCAAACTTTGTTTTCTTTAGAAAACAATGCCAAAAACATTTAATAAGCGTGTCTAGGTTTTGTACTTTATTTTTATTGCTCTTATATAATGGTGGTATTTGGATACTTGAAAAATTTTGAATTCCCGAGAAGTTTAAGTAAAGAAAAGAAAAGATTTCTGAAACTTTAAGCAGTTGTTGGAGATCATTTTGTCGTGTCACTAATTGTGTCCATTCTACATTCCGGGAGAGTAACGTTTCTGCCTTCTGCTCATTGCAAAGAACATAAGGTCCCCAATATGTTTCTTTTCAATTCTTTAAAACTGAAAAGTAAGAAAGTGGTTGGCTATACGGTTGCTTGCTGCAGGATAAATCCCTATTGAAAACAGGCCAAGATTTTGTATTTTAAATAAATTGAACTACTAGAATTTGTTTACACGGTTGAATAGTTCAAGTGGTTCCTAGTTTAATTTCTTTAATGAGATGCTTGCATTGTTCAAGCCCACCAGTGATGAGGATGGCTTTATCTGTTTTCCTAGGTACAAAGAATGTCTTACATGAGGGAATTATATATTAATCTGACTAAACAATCAGGATTGTTTTTCCTGTGGTTGAATATTACAATCTGTTTCTAGTTTAACTGGATTAGTTAGTGCCTTTGTGTGAAACGCTGCTTATTTTTTAATAATTTTATAACGACACGTTTTGAGTTGGTAGAACAGAGATGAAGGAACGGCTCAAAGTTCAAACCTTTTTCCAAGTGAAACAGTAAACTCATCTTGTTTGTATTCTCACAGAAAAATAACTTCATTGAATAGCTTGACTTGACAACATTTGGTAACTTGGTGGGAATTACTCACCAATTTTTATAGAGATCAAGAACTGCTCATTCTTAAAGTACTCCCACAATCTAAGATACATAGTACAAATTGGATGAAAGAGAAGTTATCCCTTTTAATTTACATTTCACATTTCACGTAAAAGGAATCTAAAATGATTTCACTTCTAGAATTTTGGCACCTTATTCTTGTATTTCACTTTTGTTTTGAAGAATGGAGTACGAGGGTTGATGCTTGACATGTATGACTTCCAGAATGATGTTTGGCTGTGTCACTCTTTTGGTGGTCAGTGCTACAACTACACAGCTTTTGTAAGTAAGAAATAGCTTGGTTGTTGGTGATACGAATTAATGATAATGCAATTAAAAAGTTGTATTTTTCTGTGACCATGAAATCTGGTTATCAATAGTTGTCTGAAATATGAACAATACAGCAACCTGCCATTAATGTTCTGAAAGAGATTCTAGTATTTCTAGAGGCAAACCCATCAGAGATTGTTACCATTTTCATTGAGGATTACGTTACATCACCAAAAGGCCTAACAAAGGTGTTTGATGCTGCTGGACTGAGAAAATACTGGTTTCCAGTGTCTAGAATGCCCAAAAATGGTGGAAACTGGCCAACAATTGATGATATGATCAAGAAGAATCAGCGTTTAGTTGTCTTCACTTCAAAAGCATCCAAGGAATCTTCTGAAGGGATAGCCTATGAATGGCGATATTTAGTAGAAAACCAGTGTAAGTACAAGTTCCTATAATTTATGTTTACTGTGTGTGAGGAAATAAAATTATGGATAGAGAAATGTCAGACACACCCTCTAAGGCATTATTTTAAATATAACTTTATTATTGATTAAACTTCACGAAAAATCGTAAATTTGTTTGAATCATACTAAATTATAACCAATCTTAAGCATACTAAAAATGGCGAATACTGATGGGGTTCACAGATGGAAATGGCGGAATGAAGGTTGGTTCATGTCCGAATCGTGCAGAGTCATCATCTATGAATACAACTTCAAGATCATTAGTTCTGGTGAACTTCTTTCGAGATCTTCCTGATGTAACCAAGTCTTGCAAAGACAATTCAAGTCCTTTGCTTGATATGGTCAATACATGCTATGGAGCAGCTGGCAAACGTTGGCCTAATTTCATTGCTGCTGACTTCTACAAGGTATTACAATATTGGCCATGATTGGTATTCTCAACTTATAGAACGAGCAACTATTTGTACCAGTTTTTTCCTTAATAAAGAGCAAAAAAAAAATGGAATGGGATTTTTTTTGGTAAGATAAAAATAGCTTATACAGAGTTAAAACTAAAATTTTATGACAGTTTTGACAAACTGATTTGTACATAGGTTATTAATTTTAGCATAGTAACTTTTTCTTACATTGATGTTTCAGAGAAGTGATGGAGCAGGAGCCTTGGAAGCACTAGATGTTGCTAATGGTCATCTAGTGTGCGGATGTGAAAACATTGCCACCTGCAAGGTTTGCAGCAATCAACATGTGACAAAATTTTCCTCTCCCTCTCTAGAGGTTGTTGATAGAGTAATGAATTTGGATTTTTGCAGGCTAACATGACATTTGGAGCATGTGAGGTACCTGAGGCTGAAGCAACTCCTCCTGCTGCAGCAGGTGACACTAGCTTTGGTGTTGGAAATTGCAAGCAAGTTGATTTGTTGTGGTGTTTTGCCACCACTGTTTTTGGGGCCATGCTTGTGGCATTGTGAATAGACATTTCCCTTGAATATAAGTAGGAGAAAGTGTGTGAAGAAACCATTTTTGGTGCAGTGCAATGGTGTTATTTACAGTTATTTGAATTTTGAGAGCAACTTTGGAAATTGCAGTTGTAATTTTATAGTCACTCCCTAATTAATATTTGTTAGTCATCAGTTGTGTTGAAGAAGAACCCTTTTTTATGTACCACAGACCTTTTCTTTTATATATATTTATATATACTTTGCACCTTAGATAATGTGATCAGGTGAGACTGAACTTAAACGTCCTTTAAAAGTACAAGGATTTTATTTAGTCGCTTAAATTAAAAAAATTGTTTTAGTCTATAAAAAATATTAAAATATTAAATGTAAAATATTAAATGTAAAATATTAAAAACAGATATAAAAAATTTATTTCAATCTTTTGAATTTGCTGTTTAGTAATTAAAATTGTATTTTAAATTTTTTTGGGAGGCTACTTTTAAAGGTATAAAGGACCAAAATCAAAATAGTCTTGAATTTTAAAGACTAAATAAGACAACTGTAAAATATCAAATATATACTATACTTGTTAAATCAAGATTGCCCTCTACAGATATTTCTTAAATGATAATTTAGTGGTAAGGACAAATAAAATATGATATAAAAAAAAAAACTATAAATACCTTTCTATTATTGTTCATTTATTTATTTTTTAAATAAGGAATGTAAAACAAAGAGTAGCTAAAATAAAAATCAATAAGAGAGTGAATTGATTGAAAAATGATCTTTAAACAATTTCAAGGAAAATTCATCTTAAATTGTTGACTATATAAGAAATTTAGTGTAATAGTATAAATGAACAACGAGAATAACAGATTTAATATAATAAGGCACAAACTTTTCTACGTATTAGATTATGTTTGAATCTAAATCCAGACAAATCGAGTTGAATTTTTATATTAAAAATCTTAAATTATCTAATTAAAATAAACATATGTAATTAGAATAATAAATACAAATTACTCCTTAAAATATTCTTAATAAGATTTAGAAAAATAATGAAAACACTCAATTACCAATCATACATACCAAAAATATCAATACAAATTAAAAAAACATATCATCTAAAATATGACAAATTTATAATGAAAAACTTATAGCATTTAATATTGTTTCTGATGTATAGAATCGAGATAATTCACTTAGAGTAGTCTGGCACATTTCCCATCTTTTTTTTCTTGTAATTTGGATACTCTAACCGATAGAATAAACATATTAAAAATATTCCTACACTTAAAGCAATTTAGTATTTATTTGATTTAATAATTAATGTTATAATAAATGCATTGTAAAAGACTTAACAATCATATATTTGATATTTGACTTATATTTATAGATTTTTTCATGAACTTTTAATTAGTATCGATTTAATCACACTCGAATTTGATTAAATCTTGTTATTAACATTGATTAATTTTCTCTCAAAGAATCAATTTAGGATAATTCGATTGATCTATACTAGACTATATATATATATATAACAATGATCACTTTTGTAAAATTAAATCTATAAGAGTCATATAATATATTTTTTCATAAAATAACAACAATCTATTTTTTAGACGTATGGAACGATTATAATGAATGAGAGAGCTCTTACTTTTTAAAAGAGTTTTATGATTGCTGATTAATATAATCAATTATAATTACATTATAATTAAACATAATCAATTCCCATAAAATGTTTTGGAGAGGACGATCACTTATTCACTATTATAATATTAGAAAACAAACAATTATAGATTTAGCTAAAATAGTTAATTATTGACTAATCATAATTAATTATATGTAAAAATGAACGTTTAAATTTAGTTGACATGAATTATTCATTGTTCATAATTAATTATTTGTAATATACGTTTTGATATAATTGTCATAATAAATTATTTCACTTTTCTTAATTAATTATTTCATAACTAGATAAAATTTAGGTTTAGTCTAATTTGACACAATAGATTAAAAAGTTAACTTAATCAATTATTATGTTCACAACGATAAAATGAGTTTTTAAATACAAAAATGTTCAAATTTTTCTTAAAGATTGATTCATTCCTTACATTTTGATCA